CCAAATTAGAGTATGCAGAATGAGATTTACAGGAAGAAAGTGTTAAGGAAAAATGAAATTGATAGATACTTGCATTTGTCTGAGCAGTTAGAAAAAAATAACCATATGCTGATAGAAAATTAGGTAAATGAAAGAAACAATCATAAGTTTATCCTTTGACTCAAAGGCTAGTCATATTTACCTAATCATAATAATATAAATAAAACCTAACCACTGATGTATCTAAATCTCAACTGAAATTATGGAAGAAGTGGAAGTAGAATAGAAAGAGTAAAGGAGTTAAATCCTCACCTTGCTTTATCCACTCTCAACTTATCAAAAAAGTCAATAAATAATATCTAACACTGAAGTTAAGAAGTAGTTATAAAGTATACTTTTTAGAAAGACCAAGGTAAATACTAGAAGGAAAAGTTAAGAGTTAAAAGTAGTTGCTTCCAAAGAGAGAAACAAGGACTACAGAGGAATGAACATGTGTCTCCTGTTTTTGTGGTAAATTTTTAAGACCTGCTTTATTTTTTCAATGATGTATATTATTACTTTGATTTTAAAGTAAAATTTAAAAAAATAATAATTTAATGATTAATAAACTGGAAGGTTTTACAATCCCTTACATTAGATTTAAGTAGTCCAAGTGACTCCCTCTTCACTTAGCAAGAGAGCCTTGAATGCAACACCCCAACCCTAAAGAAAGCTCTTCTTTTAATTGTCTCTTCAGTGTTTTGATCAAGGTCTATCTTCTGTTTATATTCTCTTTCTGTGCTAATCACTTCTTAGAAAAAACCTTTTATTGAGGACGCTCTCCATGCACTGATATGGAAAGATCTCTATGATTCACTGTCACGTGGAAAACGCAACAGAAGGAAACTGCAAATACTGCCAAGAAGGGAAAAATGTATATTTGTTTTGGCTCAGATATGCATAAAGTATCTCTGGAAAGATAAGCAATAAACTAGTAATAATGATTACCCAGGGCAGGCGAATTGGACCAACGGGAATTAAGATGAGGAACGGGGGAAAGAGGATTTTTTCCATTGTATACTTTTTCTACTTCTTGATCTTTAACCCTGTGAAATTATTGCCTACTCAAAAAAATTTTCTTTTTTTTTAAATTTTAAGCCATACTTCTTCATTGTGGCACCAAATTAAAATATAATTATCTTCAAAACTTTGAGAAATTATGAAAATAATCAATACCCCCAATCTCATCTTTGCAGAGATAACTTTTAACATTTTGATGTAGTTACAGTGCAATCATATCACACATCCTGAACCTGCACGCTTACATGCCAACTTGAGAACCTAACTGCCAGTCTTTCAATCCTCACAACAAAAAGTCTATTAACCTATATTAAAATTATAAAGATTCAAATAAAATAGAAAAGAGTAAGCCTTGTGGATAAGCAGAGACACTTGAAAACTCCCCATTCATCTCCAGGAATTCAATGATTATGCCGAAGGCAGAATGGTTTCAATGCCTAGGTATGTGAATATTGCCTGTTTTTTCCTTCTTTCAATGTAGCTCAAGGGTTTTTAAACTTTACTATGCAGAAGAATTCCTTTCAAAGTGCCAAGGCTGAATATTAGATTAAGTATAATCTTTACTATACTTCAGAATACTTTTGTACTTCTTTTAACCAAAATGGAAAATAGTCACTTTTTAAGAATGTATACTTTTTACCCTGATATTGTATTATGACCATCTTTTAATTTTCTCAAATTTCTTCTACATGGTCTGTAAAGGCTGCATAAGTTTACATTATATTAATATATTAATGTATTATGAATTACATTATATATATTCTATCATTTAATGTATCTTATCAATTTTACCATTTTCCTACTTAGAGACATTGTTTCCAAAGTTTCATCATCATAAACAAAATTGCAACAAAACACCCCAGTAACTAACCTTGTGTACATATCCATTATTATTTCCTTAGAATAAATTCCTAGAAGTGGAATTGCTGGGACAAAATGTATCTAAAAATTCAAGAATTGTAATGAGTGTGGGCACAATGCCCTCCAAAATCCCAATTAACTGTTAGTGGGAAAGTAAATATAAAGTACTTAGGGGAAAGTACTTAAGAGGATGCTTTACTGATTCCATCTGTGAGACTTCAGTACCTCAGTGAATCCCCAAATTTCACACTGCAAAATTTTGCACATGTAACATGTCGAAAAAGAGGGTGATGAACCTTAATATCAAAAGCACAGCTGCAGAAAGAGCTCTTTTAGCAATTACATGTCACTGAGAGATGACAGACTCAAGTTCTTAAAGCCTTCCAACTTAATGCCATTAGAAAAATTATAGTATTCAATGTTAGCAGTTATAATGCTCAAAATTATTAAAGTATTTTATTATCACATCCCTTTCTTGAACAAAAAAAAATGCCATAATAGTCTATGCGTGCGCAGACATTTCAATGGAGAAAAATTAAAATTTTAATACAACCTATAAGCCCGCTACTCCTGGGGGGCTTAATAACACTATTAACACCATTCCAAATTTGGAACCTGGGTATGTAGTTGTGGGTGAAAGCAGACCTAAAGTAAATCGGGAAAAAATAATCTTTCAAAATTGACGATTCAAACAACAACATAGATTTTTTCTTTTCTTTTTCTGTATTTTGTAAAATTTCTTTAGTGAAAGATAGCATTATTACCATAAAATAAGAAAGCTCAAAACATTATTTATGAAACAAAAGTATCCGTATTGCATTCAAATGATTTCCTGACATCGAAAACTATTTTTGGATAAGATACAGCATATTATACAATTCTAGAAATCACAATGAACACGATGTAACTTTTTTTTAAAAGAGCAATCCCCAACAAATTCTTTAAACCATTCTATTTTCCTAGACCAGTATTAAAGGAGTTTTCTTGGCCACCACAAAACGTCCCCAGAGGCAAAAGGAAAAGAATTTTATAGCTCCCTCCCCTCCCCTCCCTAAAATACTTTTTGGGAGTTCAAATCGGAAGTCACAAAGAATCCTGACTACTAGGGACAGCAAAGCACTACCCAAGTCCTGCAAGCATATGCAAAAATATACTTCCAGGAAAGATAAAGGTGCTTTGTGACTTTACAAGAGAATTCACAGCAGCATTAGCAATTGTAAAGGCTGCATTTGAAGTGCTTAACACTTTTCCTAATCACTGAATAAAAGAGAATGGTGTTTCTATTTCCCAACCCCTTAATAAGAACAATAATTACAGTATTCTACCGTCTCCAATATGCCCTCATTTTAAAAAAAAATCCATAATCTTCTGGTCCTTGGAAGTTGGCACGCTAAATTCCAGCATCTTTTTCTCAAGCCAGCAATCCCTTTTCCTAACCCTTACGGGATAAGATAGGAACTCCTTTTTGACTCAAACTAACCCACGGGGGCTTGGGAAAGGGCAAAGCAGGCTGAAACGTCACCAGAACTTGGACCTTGAAACCAGCGCCAAGAAGTATGACATAACACTAGAGCGTTTCGTTCTGCAAAACGTCTACCATTCTCTGCACTCCCGGCTCCCATCAACTCGAAACAAACGCCACAAAGATTGGGAGGGCAGTACAGTACTGGTACTGGGTTGTCAGAGCAATTCACTTAAACTCTAAGCGTCGATTCAGCCAGCTCCAGCGAAAGGACTCAGGCCACAAGGATGAAAGGACTCAGACCACAAGGATGAAAAGAAAGAGCTACTGCTGCTATGAAGTGCCCCCAGGCTGAGACGTGAGCAGTGTCTTAAGTATGCAGCTCGGCTTCCCGGGGACTCTTGGAACAGGCAAATCGCTGAAACCAACTTTGGGACGCCTGGAGTCTGCAGGCGGAGTCTGCGGGCCTAGCGGGGCTCCGGGGCGTGGCTGATTTTCCCTCTGCAGTCCAGCCGGGTGAGAGTGGGGACGCAGGCGCTATTTACACGGTTCCAAAATCTGGAACTTGGGTATGCAGTAGTGAAAGCAAGCCCAAGCAAACTGGGGCGGGGGTGGGGGGTGGAGTATCCCTCAAAATTGATGAGTCAAGACACTACGCACGGTTTCTTTTATTTTTCTGTTCTTTGAGAAATTCCTTTAATCAAATAAATCTATTACTCTAAAATAAGCAAGTTCAAAACTTATTTAAGAAACAAATGTGCCAGTGTTGCATTCAAATGACTACCCTGACATCAGAAACTATTTTTGGATGAGATACAGCATATTATGCAATTCTACAATGTCTTTTTTTTTTTAAGAGCAATCTTTAAAAAGATCTCACGTTCGTCGGAGCTATTTCACTGCCTTAGAAGCGAACACGAGGCAATCTGGCGACTGCTCATCACTAACCCCCGCCCCAATAACCCTGCTGTATAAAGGACAGTTGACTTAATCGTGATCTCCCAAGACCTGCCCGCACCGCGCAGCGTCCACCGAGCCTATCCAGATCCGGAGGTGAGTTGCTGGGACTGCGAAGCCGAGCAACAAGTGTGGATGAGGCGTTCCGCAGCTACTGGCTGACCCGCGGGCGCCTCCGCACACACAACTTGCTTAGTGCTACAGACCAACCGATTGGGGAGTGACAGTCACCGGAGGGCGGGGAGCTGGAGATGATCTGGACCCTAACCACTCGACGCTAGGAACCGGGGCGCAGACCCCGCCGGCTCGCCCACCCACCGCCAACTGCTCCTAGGCATCCGCGAAGGCGAGGAACCCAGGGGCAAAGGAAGCACTTACCGCTTCAGCGGGTCCGTAGCTCGCGCCACCGCGGCCGTCCCGGAGGCGGAGCTCGGCGCCGCGGCCCCGGCTGCCGCCCGGGTTGTAGCCCTGGCAGGAACGCGGTCCCGGGGCATCGCCGGCGGCGCGCGAACGGAGTCCGCGCAGCTCCCCGCGCTCCGCGCTCGCGGTCCCTTGGGCCCCAGAGCGCGCGGCTCTGCGCAGCGGGCCCCGCCCACTCCCGAGGGCGGCCAATGGACGCGGAGCGCGGGAAGCCGTGGGCGGGGCGGGGCGGGGCGGCAGCGAGTCCTACGGCCCATCAACGCCCCTTGCTCAGCATTTTTCGCCCTTAAACTAGAGCCGTCCAGAGTGCGGCGTCGCCAGGTTTGGAAATGTGTGTTTCAGGTGAGTAAGGAGGGGGGAGGGGGGGTGCACATTTACTTTCAGAGCACTTCTGATTCTTCGGGGTCTCTCTTTTTCCTTTTTTATAGAACATTCAGTGAGAGCTAACCACAGTGCTTGGAGACACACAAGAATGAGAAACATTCCCTAGATCTCCCAGTCAGTAGGGTAGAGGATCAGATAAGGAAACAGGTACAGGAGCCAACATAAGGCACATTCCAATATAAAAAGTCATATGTTTTGCAGTGGGGGATTGGGGAGAGTGGGGGGAGTTTCGACCAGGGGACAACTACAAAAAAGACTTGTTACCCTAGAATTCTAGTGGCCATGATTCACAATGGAGAACAGTCCACACGTCATTTTCTTTTTTTTTTTCCCTTAAAGACGGGTAGGTAATATGTGTGACGGGTAAAAATTTCAGTAGCGCCAAAAATACATGATATGTAATAAAAAGAGTCTCCATCGTCCACTGCCCCCCAGTTTTCTTACTTTTTAGACTACCACTGTTAAAACTAACTTGTCTTTTGCCTGTGTTTATTGTATTTTTTTACAATGAATTATTTTGTGTTTTCATATAGTCAAATTAATTGATTTTTATTTTAGTTTCTAGGTTTGTTTTTTTAATCTTAGAAAAGCTGTCACTACCCCCAAATTTAGAAGACTTCTCCCATGTTTGTTTCTAGTATGCTTGATATCTAGCTATATGATTAATCAATCTATATACAGATAATCTACAATAAAAATAATATATGTTATAACAAAGAAATAAATCAGGGCAAAGCATATGAATAGGCAGTTCTCCAAAGAAGATGTACAAATGTCCACTAAGCACATGAAATGATGTTCAGTGTCAGTAGCTATCAAAGAAATGAAAATCAAGACCACAACTAGATACCGCTTTATACCCACTAGAATGACTATAATTAAAAAGACAAGATATTAACAAGTGTTGATGTCCTAATCCATTTAGGTTGCTATAACAAAAACACTTGGGTGGCTAAAACAGCAAACATTTACTTCTCACAGTTCTGGAGTCTGGGAAGCCCAAGATCAAGGCACTGGGCAGATTCAGTGTCTGATCAGGACCAGCTTCCTGGTTCAAAAAATGGCTGAAGGGGTGAGGGAGCTCTCTGGGATCACCTTTAAAGGGCACTAATCTCATTCATGAGGGTTCCGTCTTTATGATCTAATCACTTCCCAAATGTCCCACCTCCAAATATCATCACTTTGTGGATTAGGTTTCAACATATGAATTTTAGTCTGTAGCAGTTGGCAAGTGTTATGAACTGAATTGTGTCACCCCAAATTCATATATGGAAGCCCTACCCCCAATGTGACTATTTGGAGATAGGACCTTTAGAGAGGTAATTAGGTGACATGAGGTCATAAGGGTGGTGCCCTAATCTAATATAACTGGTGTCCTTATAAAAAAGGAAGAGATACCAGGGATATGCACACACATACAAAAGGCTATGTGAGGACACAGCGAAAATGTGACTATTTGCAAGCCAAGGAGAGAAACCTCAGTAGAAACCTAACCTGCTGACATCTTGATCTGGGACTTCCAGCCTCCAGAACTGTAAGAAAATAAATTCTGTTGTTTAAGCCAACCAGCCTGTGGTATTTTGTTTTGGCAGCCCTAGCAAACTGATGCAGCAGGAATGTGGAGAAATTAGAACACTCATACTCTGCTGGTGGGAATATAAAATGGTGCAGCCACTTTGGAAAACAGTCTGATAGTTCCTCAAACAGTTAAACCTAGGGTTACCATATGACCCAGCAATTCCACGCCTACATATAAATCCCAAAACATATGTCCACACAAAAACTTGTACGTGAATGTTTGTAGCAACATTTATAATAGACAAAAAAAATGGAAACAACCCACATGCCTATCAACTGATTAATGGATAAAGAAATGTGATAAATGCATATAATTGAATATTATTTGGCAACAAAAAGGAATGAAGTAATGATACATGCTACAACGTGATGGACATTGAAAATATTATGCTAAGCAAAAGAAACCAGTCACTAAGGACCACACATTATGTGGTTGTATTTATACGAAATGTCCAGAATAGGCAAATCCATAGAAACAGAAAGATCAGTGGTTGCCTAGGGCTGGGGGTGTGATGGAGGAATTGGGGTAAAGACTGGGGGTACAGGGTTTCTTTTGGGGGAATGAAATGTTCTAAAATATATTGAGGTAATAGTTGCACAGCTCTGTGAATATACTAAAATTAATTGAATTGTATACTTTCAATGGATGAATTGTATGGTATGTAAATTATATCTCAGTAAAAGTATTAAAAAAATTAATACCCAGACTTCACTGGACAAGGGGTCAAAGTATATGACCAAATATTTCATACATGAAGAAACTCCAAAAAGTAAATCTTGGGGAAATGATTAGCCTTGCTGCAAGGCTAATTAAAAATTACAAAGGAGAATATTGGCAAAGCTAAGGAAAATGGCTAAACTCATAAGCTGATAACATTATTTATTAGGACAACTGTTTTTGAAAGTATTGAGGCAAAGCAAAAGAGCTGTGAAATTATTTATGTTTGTCCCATAATCCACATTTGGAATATATTCCCTCAAAATAATCCAAGTGAGAAAAATCAATTTTCATTAAATGTTTGTGGCAGCACTATTCATAATGCAAAACAAAATAAAACTGGAAATAACTCAAATATTTGATAATTGAGGGGGTGCTTATTAAAGTAGCAAACTGGACCTGTATTAAAAAACAGGAAAAAATATACATGCAAAATAATGAGAAAAGTAGAATTCAGATTAGTTTGTAAATGCTGATGAGTGTACTTAAATAAATGTATGTTGTTGAGGATAATTAGGAAATTTAATATGAAATGGTACCAGGATTCCTCTGAGGGAGGAAAAAAACAAGCTGTCATTGTTTGGGAAAATACCCTAATAAGCTGTTTCAGGTATAAGGTGAGATTCTGAAAAAATGGATATGAGCAGAAGTCCTAGAAACACAAGAAAAGCTGCTGTACATGAAAATGTGGGAGAAGTTTATCTCTGCTCCTGAGAAAGAGGTGAGAAGAGACAGGCCAAGCAAGGATGGGATGGGGGAGAGCAGTCAAGAGGAGAAGTCTGGGTTGTTCATAGAGTGAAGGGCTATTGGGAAATCTGGTGATCCGGCGGGCGGAAAGGACATTTTAAAGAACAGGAGTGTCTAATATAAAATTTTAAGTTGTTTTATCAAATCTTCAAATCTCACTTTGAAAGCTTTGTGTAAATGGAGTTTTGTGGAAGCTGAGGAAGAGGCTGAAGCTGAGGCAGTTGGAACAGTGGAAATACAGCACCCATGGATGCAAGGGCTCAGGGGCAGGGAGTAAAGGGGGCCCTGGAAATTATTAGTAATCTTGGAAATACAATCTTACTTAGATTACAAAGGGAAGGGAGGCTATAGCCTTGCGTAAGAATAAGAAAATAACATGAAGGAAATGTAGGTGTTTTAAGTTTATGAGAGGCTTAAATGGATGAATTTTTTTTTTTATTCTCATTTGTTCTAACAATATTGACGATCCCCATCCACTGACTAAAACAATGAATGGATCCTAGCTAAGCCCCTACCATGGCAAAATTCAGTGGACATGATGTTCAACTACACCTGGATAATATCTGGGGTTCGGCGGGGGGGGGAGGATGGAAATGAATATGTAAAATGGAAAAATTTATACCCATTCTCTCTCAGCATTAGGGCTGGAAGGAATGTAGTTAGGCTGTCCAAATAAGAAAAATTGTTCTATGTTTTCTGTGTTGTTAGAGCAAAAACATGATCAAAAATCAAGAAAGCTGGTCTGTGAGAAAAGTTCAAAAGAATTAATATGTACATGACTCTCTGTGACCATGCTGACGTTCTTAATTGCCCAACTCCAGAATTGGTGACTTCCACTGACCTAGCCAGAGGAGGGTTACTAACCAGTCCTAATTTACAGATGGCAGGTCTGTGGCGCAAGGCCTAGAAGTGATTTTCCCAAGGTTATAGAGCCAGCCAGAGGGTGAGCTGAAAATAGAACTGTACCTCACACTCCCATGCAGGCTATATGATAACTTGTGTACTGTCAGCAAAGAGTTGAGAAATGAATGTCTTGGCGAGATTAGCATAGTTTTATGGCTAACGGAGTCTTGCTCAACAATTGCAAATGCCACTTGACAACAACAAATGACCTGCTTAATCCTATATGCAGTAATAAAACTCTGGACATTAGCAAAAATTTCAGAAAAAAATTCCTCTTCAACAATTGCAAAATTTTTAAAATGCACAGCTCCACTGTCATGAAGCCACCAGTTGTATCATGCTTAAATGACAGGGGTTGTCACCTTTGATATTCCCTCTCTAAAGACTAAACTTCCAAATAATGACTCTCAACACTGTAATACCAGCAAGCTTACAGGATCTTGCAGAAATATCTAAATGTTTTCATAAGTATAGGATTTTCTGGAGACTTAGGGCCTCTGTGATAACTCTGTAAGTTTCCTTACTGAATGAACAGAACTAGAAAGTAGAACGGGATAGTCAGATCGTTAGAGCCCCAGGGCTTAGCCACTAAATTTATATCTCTTGGTACCCAGGCCATGGAGGGCTTGCTCAGCTAGCTGCTCTGTTATACCTGAGCTGCTGTGCTCATATTTTTAGAAAAACAAAAGCTAAATACCACTTTTTGGTGACCGTTCTCTAGGGTAGAGTCTTACATTGCACTGATTTAGTCAACAGAAAGCTTTAAACATTTATGTCTTCAGAAGTGGTGTTCATCTCATTCCCACTTTTCAGAAAAAGTTCTTTGGGATAATTGCTGTGTAAAGTGAGTTAGTACTTTTGGTCCAGCTCTGAGTGGGAATACCACAAACAGTCACAGACTATGGACTTCTTGACTGCTGCTTTCCTCCTCTTCGCATAAGAGACTGCACTATTACTACTTCTGCTCGGTTCTCCAGTCATGCCTTCTAGAAGATTCTGACCAGATACATAAAACCTAAATGATCAGTAAAGAAAGTGATAGCTCCAGTAACTATTTCTCAGCAAGCTCTCACCTACCTGGTAAGAGTGGCGGAAGCCAGTCCGCTTTCTATAACATAACATCATATCCGAAGGCATCTTACAGAGGCCCCATTAAAAGCGGGAACAAAAGAACTACCTGGAAAAGAAACGTATATCAAAAGTATACATCAATAAAATTAGGGTTATGAGAAATGTTACCTTTTACAGGCAATATTTTATTAATACATTAATAATCCAGTTATTGTGAGGTGAAGGAATAACCCAAACATCCAAATATGCATGACATGGTTTGCTCCTTCAGACACTTAGCATAAATATTTTGGCTGTTGTCATTTTTTTTCCTTTTGCACAGTGACAGATTAGGACTTCAAGGGTTAAATATACAAACATACATACATACATACATACATACATAGGTTAAATACAGTTGGGGTGGGAAGTGGATCTAGCTTTATTCAGAATGCCATTTGAACATTCTTGACCATTCTACTGTCTAAATTCTGGCAATGCACAGGATTTGTCTCTGCTCACACAGAAGGAAAAATAAATTTGAAAAACTCCATAGGGTCAACATTGTATCTGGGTTGCCCCTTGGTTCACTTCTACCTTCCCGTCTCAGTTTGACCATGCTCTGTTTTACAGTTCTGTTGTATTTTGAACTGCGGTTTAGCAATTTTTGTATGCATAGTTCCAACACAGGGACTATATTAATTGATTCATGTATTCACCAACATTTTTGTCACTTAGGGGACATAAGTATCCCCTGTCTTTAATAAGGCAGCAGTTGAATGAGGGAGATAGCCACAGTGACAAACAGAACGTAAGAATATATTGAATAAGAGCTAGAGGTAAGCTTTGGGGTCAGAAAGACTTAAGTTCAAATCCAGCTCTGCCATTTACTAACCGAGTGACCTTGGTCAAATTATTGAACTTCACTGAGTTTCAGTTTCACCAACTAGAAAAATGAGTGTGGCAGTTATCTTTCAAGATGGCCCACAGCGATTCTGTATTCATGCCCTTGTGTACTCCTTTTTGCCTTGAACGTGGGCTGGACCTTGTGACTTGCTTCTAACAAGTGGAATACTATTTGCAAAACTGATGGAGATTTAAAAGACTGACTTCCAGTTGAGGTCTATCCCGGTGGGTTTTTTTCTGTAGACTTACATCAGTGGAAATGCCTCATACGTGAAAAAAAATACGTGTTGTTTTTGTTTTTTTTTACTCACAGAACTGTGTGTTAGATCTGTGGGAAGGAACTAAAAGACAGAGCTGCTAAAACTAGGCAAAACATTTTTTTATCTTAGAATTTGGTATATCCCATTGATCTATACTATTTTAGGGTGTGACAGCTTAAGAGTGAATATTACTTGAACTTATTCATGTTTAGAGGCTGTCTGAAATTGAGAACCAGGGAGACCCACCTACTCTGACCCTAACTGTGGCCCTGACGTAAATTGCTTGAAGAAATTGGGTCCCAACATTTATAGGACTGACTGATATCACAACTGGATTGAGCCAAAATTATTTTTAAAAGGGCTATCTTGAAGATTAAGACCCAAACACAGGCAGTAGAAGGAATCACACATGTGAAATTCCTTAAATAAAAATTTGTTAACTTTAAATAATTGTGCCTATGTTGCACGTGATGGAAGGAACCCTTTGCTCTTTTTGTGGAAAGCCAGCATGTATCTTTGGCCCAAGTTTTCTCTAGTGTTTTCTGTGGAAGGAATAAAAATAAAATTTAGCGGCTATAAAAGACCAACTTCCACCTTACTGGATTTTCTCTATTGCCTTCTTAGCTTACGAGCTTTATTGAAGCACACTGTCATGTTAGAAAGCCCCTCGTGGCAAAGAAGGGAGGCCTCCAACCAACAGCCAGTGAAGCACTGAATCCTGCCAACACCATGTGAGTCAATTTGGAAGCAAATCCTTTCCCAGCTGAGGCTTGTGATGACCATAGCTCCATTCGATGCCTTGATTGCAGCCTATGAAACAGGGAACCCAGCTAAGCCAGCCCAGGCTCCTAATTCACAGAAACTATGAAATAATAGCTGTTGTTTAAAGTCACTATTTTTTTTTGTCTGTTTTGACCCACACTTTCATTGATACTGTCTGAGTACAAAGTTTCAAGAAAGCTAAAGCCACTAAGTTTGGGGGGTAATTTGTTGGCTGACATGTTCCTTGCAAAATTATTGTGAGGCTCAGAAAGATATGAAGATTAGGATGAGAAGGAGGAGGAGGAGGACAATGACTACAGGGGATCCCAGCTAAGCTTAAATTAAGATTCAGAACCTGACAGAAATGCTACTATTGTGAAGAAGATATTTTTAATGATTGAGCCCCTGAGGAGTACAAAAGAGATGAAGGCATGGGGGACACGGTATCATTTTCCCATTCAGGCCCAGACTCTCTCTGTCTGACTCATAGAAAGAGGCTTATGAGCAAAACTGAAGTGGCAAATTTGTGATAATCTGCAAAAAAGAAATGGTGCTTGGGGGACTAGGTGACAAAGTTTAGCAACGAATTAAGGAGAGGGTCATTCTATTGGCTCGTCGGAAAAGTCATGTCACATGTTTGCAACAGATGGCACTAGTTCATTTTTGGAAGTACTAGAGTCATTCGCATCTATGTTATTGCTATGCCATTTGACAGGTGACAGCTCCAGCTTCATTCTAAAAAAAATTGAGTGATTTGGCTGAGTTTTTCGAGATTTTACAAGTTGAAGATGGAAGAACAAACTGTGCATTTTTGCCATATTTTACTGTTTTACTTCGCTAAAGAGAAGAACGCGAGTCAAGCTTGTGAAAAATTGCATAAAGTTTACGGTGACAATGCTCTACAACAAAATCAGTGCCAACAATAGTTCACGAAATTCCATGCTGGTGATTTTGATCTCAATGATGCTCCTCAGTCAGGGAGGCCCACCGAGGCTGATGATGACAAAAGAAAGGCATTGATAGAGTCAAATCCACGTTACATGACACAACAGATTGCAGAAACATTGAACATCCATCCTTCAAGCATTCACGACCACCTGAAGAAGCTGGGATACATCAGCTAGCTCGATATTTGGGTTTCGCGTGAACTCAAAGAAGTTCATTTGATGGCGCGTATAAACATCTGCATTATGCTCATTAAACGTGAGGAAAACGATCCTTTTTTGAAGCGACTGATAACTGGTGATGAGAAGTGGATTGTTTACAACAATGTGGTGTGCAAACGGTCTTGGTCCCGATGTGATGATTCGCCTCAAACGACATCGAAAGCAGACATTCATCAGAGGAGGTTATGCGCTCAGTGTGGTGGGATTTTAAAGGTGTCGTGTTTTTCGAGCTCCTACCAAGGAACCAAACAATCAATTTGAATGTGTACTGTCAGCAATTGGACAGTTTGAACGAATCCATCATCCAGACACGTCCAGAACTTGTTAATTGTAAAGGAGTTGTGTTCCATCGCGACAATGGGAGACTACACACAAGTTTGATCACCCATCAAAACTTATTGGAGCTTGGATGGGATGTGTTGCCACACCCACCATACTCGCCTGACCTTGCGCCATCAGACTTCCACTTGTTTCGCTCTCTTCAAAACTACTTGCGTGGTATAACGTTCAATTCAGATGAGGCTGTAAATCAGCACCTTGTTCAGTTGTTCACAAATAAAGACAGGTCCTTCGATAAACGAGGAATTACGAAACTCATTGAAAGATGGCAAAAGGTTATCGAACAAAATGGCAATATATCATTGATTGATCTTTGTTCTTTATATAAATAAATGACCTTTGAAAAACATAGACAAAATACGTCATGACTTTTCCAACAACCCAATACTTCTGCTCAGATTGGAGCATGACAACAGCTATAAAATGAAAACTGAAGGGATGGTCCATGTTTCTCCTTGGAAACATGGAGAGCAGCACCCTTGGCAGGGAGGAAGTTTTCTCTGAGAGGACAATGGCCACAGCATAGGTGACAAGGCCCTGCCACTTCCGCTGAGATTGGCACATAACTATTTCTATGCTTGTGGTTGATGAATAATAAGAAAGAGGTTATGAGGCCAGCCGAGTGGCGCATTGGTTAAAAGTTGGCTTGGGACACCAGCTCTGAGCAGCAGGACCCTGGTTCGGATCCCACATGTGGGCCAGTGACACTGTACCCTCTACAGCTAAGATGGTGAACAACAGCTTGACCTGGAGCTGGGCTGCTGTGAGTCACCGGCGTCGGTTGCAGCCCCTGCTGCAGTGGGCTGCCATAAGCTACCATGAGTGACTAGCAGTCAGCGTGAGAGGCCAGCAGCTGGAGTGAGCCACCGTGAGTGGCCGTCCAATGGTCTGTGACCGATCTGCCTTACCTGGGAAGAGCGCAATGATAATACCAACATGGGCCAGTGAAACGTTGTCCTCCACAACTAGACTAAAGAACAAAAGGACAGCAACTTGTCTGTTCCCCTTCCCCGATTCCCCAACGCTGTTACCCTCCCCCAATTCCCCAATAAAATCTTAAAAAAAAAAAGAAAGAGGTTATGGGTAAGGAACATAAACATACCTTATTCTGGGTTGCTTCTGAGAGGAGAAGCTAAAGACCTACCTCACCATAAGCCAATGACATTGGGTTTTAGGTGTCTTAGAGGATGTGCAGAGTTCTGACACGCAAAGAAGGGTAAATAGACATTTGAAACAGGGAAACCGAGGGAACAGCATAAGCAACGAACGATTCAGGGCTGTGAACATAAATCCTTTCCTTAGGGAAAAGCAAGTAGTCGTCTGTGACCAAAGAAAAGAGTACAAGCTAGTTCACATTTTCTATTCTGATCTTGATTTAGTCCCTAGAGCAGTTTCCCTTTACACTCTTAAAAATTTTGGTGACTTCAAAGAGCTTCTGTTTATGGGGATAATATCTTTTTTAATATTTACTGTATTATAAATTAAAACAGATAAACTTTTAAAATATTTAGTTTGAAATCATCCAAAATAATAAACATGTTAACATAATAGAATATGTTTATGAAAATTAACACTATTTTCCAAAACATAGTAAGAATATGTGAGAAGAACAGCATTCTTTTACATTTTTGAAAATATTTCTTTTTGTTTCTGGGCTTAATAGAAGAGAGCTGGATTTTCGTGTATGCTTCTGCACCAATCTGTTGCAATATTACGCATCACATTGCCTCTGGGAAAATGTCCTATACACTTGTGAGAGAATGAGCATTCAAAAGACAAATCATGTTTTCATGTTATGAAAATCGTTTTGATCTCCCAGACTCCCTGAAAGAGTTTCAGGGACACAAAGAGGTCACTGGACTACACTTTGAACATCACTGCCCTAGAACAAGAGCAGTAGATATCACCAAGAGAAAAAAAAAAGGCCAAACTTTACAAATATTGTGATGATAATGATAATAGTAGTAATAATACTGATAGCTAACATTTATTGGGTGCTTACTATGCGCTATTCTAAGCCCTCACAAAAGTCTAAGGAGTGGTTATAATTATGCTTTCCAGATGAGGACACTAAGGACAAAGAAGTTAAGGAACTTGCCCAGGTGTACACAGCTAGTAAGTGGTGGTGAAGCTGGGCTGCAAACGCAGGCAGCCTGGCTCCAAAACCTGCAGTAACCACTGCACGGCACGTCCTGCCTCTCTAAGGGACAAAGGCCTATAGTATAAATGACAAAGGGGTGAGTCATGCCGCTCAGCCACTCTTCCTCCCTCCTCTCCCTGCCATTTGAGATTTCAATGCTCTTTTCTCTTTCCCTGCCTGTTTAGGGAACTCATGTTTCTTTTCACTCTGCAGTAACTCCTCCTCCATTGCCCTGTTCGCTGTTCATTATTGCCACCACTCTACAGAAACTGCTCTCTCCAAAGGCACCAACGACCTTGTAATTTTCAGATTTAGTGGCCACTTTACAGTACTCATCCATTTTGCTCTTTGAGGGATGGCATATTTTTCACCTTTTTTTTTTTTTCGTTAAGAGCCTCTCCTCTATTGATTATTCTGACACCAGGCACTTCTATTTCTTTTACCACATATTCTATCATTTCTCTTCAGAAGATCCTTTACGGGGTCCTCTTCATTGGCCTGTCCCTTAAACATCTTCCTCAGTGTTCAGTGAGAGTCCCTTCTTCCTTTTCATTCTATAACTTCGCCGACTGCCACATCACTTCACCTCTGTGGCTTTAATTACTAAATATATCCTATTGACACCCCAGTCCCCTGTCATACCACCATCCTCCATGAGCCAGACACTTGGGAGTCATTCCAGATTCCTCCTACCTCATCCTATGATTCTTCGGGATCTACCTCTGAAACACTTCTGAATGTCCCTGACCCTAGCTCACACCCTCCTTTTCTCCCACCTGGATTATTACGCTAGCCTCATCAGTAATTCACTCCCTTGTAATTCTGGCTGCTGAGAGTTCGTACACAGCAGCGAGAGTTGCTACTCTGCATTCTGCACAACTCTTAAGTACCATCATTGCGTCATATCTTGTATTATCACTGCCCCCTGGATTGTGTAGTGCTGAGGCTTTGTTTATATTACTCTTGGAATATGCCTTCTGTTGTAAATCCCATGGGGGACAGGGTTACTCCATATCCTGAAACAATTTCCGTGAGTCCCTGCTGCCTTCAGGATAAAGTCCAAAACCAGACAATGTTCTAGTTATTATGGCTGTGTCACAAACTACACTAAACTTAGCAGTATAAAACAATAACCATTCTGGAGCTGGCCGGGTGACTTGGTTCCAAGGTTAGAATGAGAGCTCTGAGCAACAACAGGGTTGCCGGTTCAATTCCCACATGGGCCAGTGAGCTGCGCCCAACTGGACTTGGAGCTGAGCTTGAGCCCTCCACAACTAAGATTGAAGGGAAACAACTTGACTTGGAGCTGATGGGCTCTGGAAAA